AAGCATTTTTCTTCGAACAAACGACAAAAGCAGTTGCTACCAAGCAATTAGCTCTCAGGTTCTTTCTGATTTTGCACTCAGGTACTCCTGTGTTGGGATGAACTGTTTAAGCAAAGAATCCATACGCCAACTCACTCGCTGTACTCACCTGATGTTCACACACTTTCTAATAGCGATTACTGAATAGCGATTAAGAGTAGGATTTCCCCCCTCCCCTTTCCCAAGTGTGGTGGCCAGCAAAGCCAATTGAAATTAAGAAAGCTAGGCGAAAGGTACAGACCCACATTCTCTCTACCATTCACCTAAATTTCTTAATTTAAATTGGTTGACTTTATACCAAAGTTGACAAAAATAGTGCTTTTTTTGGGCAAAACTGAATTTCAAAAAGGGTATCTTATGGAATGTTGTGATGTACAGTATATTACCAGAGCAGACCTATCTGCCCATTACAGTCAGCTTTTTAATATGTAATGCTTTCACAAAGTTCAAAGCAGGTACAATACATTATTGTAATGGAAGTTCATAAAGTGAACATTAGCTCTGATTAAAAACACCTTAAATTCAGCTTATTATTCAACAGCAAGGCAATATTTTAATAATTACTTTCATTACATTGGCCTTATTGGGAATTTACTTTTTCATTGTGATTGATCCATTATATTGAATGTACTTGATAATGCTTTTATGCAGAGTAAGTTGCAAAAAGAGCTATTAGCTGACCCACAAGAAACTACAGTATAATCAATAACCAAATTGACTATTCTCATTTTTTTAAGTCTATTTGCCAAAATACTTAGAACAACAACAAAATTACATTTGTGCAGCGCCTTTCACATCGGGAGGCTGTCCCAAGGCTCTGGACCGTCAGTGTTTCGGACCTGAGCTGAGGGTCAGGATCGGGGAGGGTGGAGTGCAGGGGGGAAAGGAGGGTGATCCAAGGCACGGACGAAGAGGAGGGTCTTGAAATGGGTCTTGAAGGAGGCAAAGAAGGGAGCGAGGCGGACGGACTGCGGGATGGAATTCCGGAGGATGGGGGCAGAGTGGTAGAAGGCTCGCCCGCCAATGATGGGGTGGGTGAGGCGGGGGGACGTGAAGCAGGCTGGAGCCTGCTGAACAGAGGGAGCGGGCAGATTGGTAGGGGGTTATGAGGTCTCAAAGGTAGGGGAGAGCAAGGCCATGGAGGGCTTTGAAGGTGAGAACCAGGATCTTGAACTGCATCCTCTGTGTGATGGGAAGCCAGTGGAGTCGGTTGGGATGGGAGTGATAGGAACAAGGTGCCTGGTGTGGGAGAGGACGCAGGCTGCAGAGTTCTGGATGATCTGCAGCTTATGGAGGGAGGAGTCAGGGAGGCCAACAAGCAGGGAGTTTGCATAGTCAAGTCTGGATTTTATGAATGCGTATATGAGGGTTTTGGTGGCTTGCAGTGTGAAACAGTGGCGGAGCCGGGCAATGTTGTGGTGATGGTGGAAGGCAGAGCGGGTCATGGCTCGGATGTGAGGTAGAAACGATAGCTGAGAGTCAAACAAGACGCCAAGGTTCCGGACTGGCTTAGCAAGGTGGAGTGTGCATCCATGGATGGTGATGCTGTCAGTACCTGAGATACGGAGGCGCTGACGGGAGCCGATCAGGAGAACCTCGGTCTTGTTGACATTCAACTGAAGAAAGTTAGCTCTCATCCAGGACTTGATGTCTTGATAGACATTCTGTCAGGACAGCAGTGGTCCTGGAGTCAAGGGTGGAAGCAGAGAGATACAGTCATCTGCATACATGTGGAAGTTGACCCAATGTCTATGGATGATGTCACCAAGAAGGAGCATAGAGATATTGAAAAGGAGGGAACCAAGGACAGAGCCCCGAGGAACGCCGCACAAGATGGTGTGGGGGCTAGAGGAGAAACCATATGTAGAGATTGAAGTGGAGATAGTGTGAGAGGTAGGATCTGAACCATTCAAGGACAGAACCATGAAGGTTGAGGTGAGGGGAGAGATGGTGGAGGAGGATAGAGTGGTCAACGGTGTCGAAGGCAACAGAGAGGTCAAAGAGGATGAGGAGGCAGAGGGAGCTCTGGTCTCATACATTTATTTTTAAACATTATTTTGTTACTTCAGTTAATTTCACCTCATAATCTAGGCTGACACTCCATTACAGACCTTCGGATGGGGTGCTAAACTGGGGTCCTGACTGGCTGTTCAGGTGGATGTTGATAATCTTTGTTATGAATGAAAAAGAGAAGGGAGCTTTAACTGGGATCCTGGCCAACAATCCCTAAAAATAGACATTGATTACTCATTTCAGGCTGTTTGTGGGAGGTTGCTGCGGTAAATTGACTGCTGATTTGTCTACCAAAAAATGCACACTATATTGCACTTTACAGTAGATTTTGCAAAGTGCTTTGAGATGTCCTCCCAACATGACAGGTACTATGTCAAATACAAGGATATTATAAGGTGGACTAAGATGTTGTTGGAAAATAATGCAGAGGAGAAATAAGATAAAGGTTGCCCTATAGACTGTGATTCAAAACAAAATAACTGTAAAAATAATCAGAAAAGTTCATGCCTTTAGTCCAATATAGAAAAGGCCTTTGGCTGTAAATAAGCCAGTATATTAAGGCATTTACACAGTATTGTATAGCATGTAAAATCCTCGGTGTTTAAAATAAAACTCTGCTGGTTTTAAATAATACAGTAGTTCAAGGAAAGGAAACTTGGAAAATGCTTGGTTTATCTTATCAGCTTTTCCTCAATAAGTTCTCAGAACAGTATCTTTTAATCTTCAAACTAATACATGGCGTTGCTGAGGTGCTCTATCTGCAAATCACAACTGTTAAGATTACTGAATTTGATAGTACAGATTTTTTTGTTTGAAGTTGCTTGTAAAGATTTTCTTTTGCAAGAATTTAGATTGCTTGAGGTGCAACCTCAGTGGATTCCACTCATATCTTTTTTTTTAATTTTCAGTTTTCACTTTTTAATATCCTTGATACATTTTCAAGTTTAAAAAATGCCGCCAATTAACTTTTACCAATTGTCATCCAAGACGAACATATATGGCATCTCCCAAAATTTCTGAAATTGAATTTCACCTAAGCACTTAGGAGGGGAAAGAAGAGTATATTAATAAATAAATAAATAAATACTCCTCCTTACACCATAATGTACACCATAATGGTCATTGAACCCCTAGCAGTATGGAAACCAATCTTACTTTTATTTATTTGAGTAAACCAATAATGCACAGCTCTTAACACTGTGTACTGAAGAGCAACAGCATGTGGATTTGCAATTGAAAATTTACTTTAATTTAAATTAAATCTGGCACCACGCAACTACTGGATACAACATCAGTGACAACTTACCTGCCTGTTTTCTTCGTCAGTGGATGATGGGCGGCATATGTGAAATGAAGGAGAATATAATTTTTTTTAAATCTGAATTGAAATCAAGGATATTTTACTATTTACCTGTTTTGCTGGAGAGAAGCCGCTGATCTCTCTGTGACCTGATGCTGATTCTGGAAAGGGAGGCAAATTTGTATACGGTAAATGGATTTTGAGCTTGGCAAGATTTAACCAGTGTTGCAAAGCTCTGGTATGATAAGTAGTAAAACAACTATCTGACCCTTTCTAAAACATTTTGTTTTTTGGTGTCTGCACTATTAGAATAGGGACTTTATCTCAGAATTATTAAGCCATATTTATTAAAATACAGATAGCTATTCAGAAAGTAGCCACAGTGTACTATCTTAAAGACAAATGTGACCGTGTGGGCACTACATGCAGTGATGATCATTGAGAGCCCAGGAAGCTAATAATGAGGGAGAAACACCTGGTTGAACTACTTTTTGCTTTCAGTCCTGCATTCATTAAACTACAGGTTTCACTCCAGCTGATCTAAAACTTGGCAGGAACATCAAAGATCTCTATGACTACATTCTAGATGCTTAATTAATTGTTATAAATATTGTGACTAGGTCAGTCAATCCCCACTAAGAAGCTAAACTTCAGCAACTTAGAAACTCCATATAAAACGGTATTTCAGTGCTTTGGGTTAAGAGCGCACACACTTTGTGTTTTTATTATTTGTTTGGTTACATTAATCATTTGATAGTTTGGACCTACAAACTGTTTCTTTTGGAAAATAATAATTAACCTTAATTAGCATTAATTAACCACTAAGGTGTTGGCTTTCAGGATTGAGAACATGTCTTCACCTCCAAATTTTACCGATGGGCCAAGCAGGAAGGTCTCATCCATTGATTGAACCTTTTATTAATTCTCACTTTGCTAGGGCTCCCTATTTCGAGTCACTTCAACCCAAACAACACACCACCTATCATCTTGGCCCTTATCAAAAGCGAGCATGTGCATTTAAGTGATAGTTTTCTAAAATCATTGGGAAATGTGTGTATTACACACTTACTGGATCTGGCAAATAATGTACCATAGTGACAAAGTGGATAAGTTGACCACAGATTTCATCTCTTAATGTTTGATTTTAGGGAACAAAATATGATCATAGTGAACTACCTTATGTGAAAACTTAAATATCCTTGTAAAGTGCAGTTTCAAAACTGACTACCGTCTTCCCTTCCCCTGCCCTTTGATATAGCACGCTTCCTGTACTGTTCTTGGTTATAATGCACTATTTTTATGGCTCATGAATTTTCTTTAGATGATTTGGAATTCCTGACCTACAAAGGGGAAAATTGTGAACCACGCAAACAATGCATTAAGTATTCTAAAGAATGTGTGAGGTTGCACATTTGTTCAGATGTGCTGTACTAAATTTAGCTGTACCATTGTTTCCAATCCACTCTGATCGTGGTTTGCTCAGTGGAAGATAGAATATGTGTAATGCAAAAATGAAGTGAAGTATAGGAAACTTCAAATACAACTTTAAGTGCTGCACATAATCAAATAAAAGTGGTTGAGAAAAATTAAGAGCTTTGATTCCTACTCAGTGAGTTTTGCACCCAATGTTTTTTTTCCCCTCCCACAGGAGCTCCTTTTGTATCCAGATCAGAACAGGAAAGCAAGGTGAAAAGACCTCACTCCTCCTGGAGGTGAAATCTCAATTGGTAAGTGTGAAAGACTTTTCAGGCAGCAGTTAAAACTTCAAATCATATCATTATTGTACATCTTCAGTAATCAGAAAGCAACAAACATGTGGCTTGGTTCTAAGTTGCTGTTATTCACATTCCTGCATTTCTATCGAGCAAACTGTTTTTACTGCAATAATGCTTTGCTTTTCCACTCCTATATAAATCTTTATTACCAATTTGCTTACGGCTCCCATGTTACAACACAAGGAAACAATTGGTTTCCTAACCTCAGCAAAGATCACTGAATAAACCGACCTAGTGCACCATACATCCTTTGATTACACATACAGTCTGCGTTTTTGATTGCTCCATACATGGTTTACAATGAAAATTTAGAATATTTTCACAATTATGTATTTTACTATGGCTATTAGATTAGCCTCTTTTTCTTCCAGGTTACACGTGGTTTGCTCTTCCTCAAAGAACATCTGCTTTCTAGTCACTAATTGTTGGGCACGGGCCATAATTTATTTGCTTAAAATAGTTGAAACAATTCTACAGTAGGTTCCATTAAAGTCTGTTGAACAGCTATCTTAAATTTTACCACACTATTACCACTATTTTGCCACAGTTGTTGAAAACTGAGATTGACCGTTTTAATTGAAAGCAATATTGTATAAACTAACATTTTCCTTGAAGGTTCATTACTCAGGTGCTTCTGTGTATGGCTATTCAAGGGGCTGGGTCACAAGAGTACAAATGGAGCCTCTTGATCCGGTTTTGGCCATGTTTTCCTGGAGAAATTATGACAAGTCAGATGATAGAAAGAGAATCAGGTCCTAATATCATTCGTCCAAACTAGAGTAGTTACAACTAGATACTGCATCTTTTAATAATCACTCTAAGACAGCAGACTTTATCAATATGAATCTGATGCTGAATCAATCCCATATATGAGTTTGGGATTGATCCAGCATCAGGGTCTTTGGAATAAAATTTCCAGCCTACCAAAGAGGTAGGCTGGAACTTGCTTTAGCAATCCATTCCTTGATTTCCACCTCCCTCACCCCACACCCCCACACCAACAGCTAAGCTTTTGACTAACATTTTCATGCAGTTTGTTTGTCCATACTCAGAAAGAAAAAAAAGAAAAATGTAAGCTTCTGATAGTTCTCTCCTTGCAGAGCAGCAGTGTTTCAGAGTACATTTCTGACTGCTTGTTTTCTTGCTTATTAAAATGCGAGTTCCCAAATATTCCACAATGCATTACTTAATTCAAATTGTATATTGACAGGTAAATTAATTTCATGACTATGGCTAACAGGTTTTTAAATACTATGGCTTTAAAGGTATTCAAAATACCAGAAAATATGAGACTTTAAGTCAATGGGATGAGCTCCCTAGTAATTGACTTGGCATTTTTAATGGGGATATTTATGTACTCTCACTCACTTGCCTGAATCACTTTTTCATAATATTGGATATTGTTAGAGGGGACCTTGAAGACGCTAAGTAGATAAAGTAAACCCAGAAGATACTTTAGATTTTTCAAGGAAAAAAACAAGTGGACACAGGTTCAAGCTTGTGGAGAACAATTTTAGGCCACAATTTTAGGATATTTTTCTTTAGACTACAAAATACAGTCAATCCATTTTACAGTATATCCTCTGAAGCACTTTCAGATCTCTCCACAATGTGATAGGGCTCTATATCAAATGAAAGAATTATTTTTATTATTAGGTGACAGAATGTTGTCCATAACTGGAATAAGTTACCAAAAATGATGGTAGAGGCCTGAAAACTAGACTGTTTAAGAAACCGTTTGATGTTGCAATGAGAAGACAGTAAGGTTGGTGTTCTGTAAGGATGAGACCAATGATGCAAAGAGTCTTCTTCACCAGAATGCGCGTCTCAGCTTCTCCATGGTCTTCCTGCCCCTCCGTGGGGAAGCTCTGTGGGCACTGCTGCCCAACTTCTCCTTGAACTCCAGCTACTCTGCAGGATTCAACAATTCCATGGACTCCAGCCTCGTCTGACTGGAAAGTCATCATGCTTGGCTCCCATCAGTACATTCACTCTGCAGTACCTTTATTGCAGACACTCACCCTGTTGACTTCTCTGGTTGTTATCCCTTTTCACAAAACGCATGCAGAGCCTTAGAATTTTTTCAACCCGCTACTCTCCTTTAGACCTTTTGTCTGAGCTAGGACCAAGTCGTTCTTCTTTAATCTCTCCAATATTACTAGCCTCCAGCGCTACCACTTCCCCAGGACAGCCCAAACACTCATCCATGTCTTTATTACCTCCAGGCTTGGACTTTTCCAATACCTTGCTTGTCAGCCTCTCCAGCTCCTCCCCTTCATTATCATTCAGATCATCTAGAATTATGCAGCCAACTAGACCTCATGACACATCTCCCCATCCTCGCTTCGCTCCATTGCCTCCCTGTCCCGCAGCAGACTGACTTTAAGAACCTGATCCTTTCCTTGAAATAACTCCATTGCATTCAATTTGTCTCGTCAGCGAGTGAGCAAAATTTGCCCCAATATACTGGACATCCCTCTGCCTCACCTTTTCGCTCTCTGCTTTCGAAATGTGGATATTATTATTATTATTATACACCCAACTCTGTCCAAGCCTTTGACTACCTTCCCCCACCTCCCCTGTCCTCCATCCCTTCCACTCCAAACTTCTAAAATGCTTTGAGATATTCCCCAGACTCGAAAGGTGCTGTATAAATGCAGATTCCTGTGGTCGCCACTGAGTCCTGTAGCTCAGTGGTTAGAGCACTTGCCTTGCAAGTGAGACACCTAGGTTCAATTCCAGGCAGGGCGAAACCTTGGGCAAGTTTCCTTACTCCACACGCCTAATAATAATCCCTCCAAAACAAAACAATAATAAATTGGTCATTTTCAATCCACGACTGTTTGTGGGACACTGCTGTGCGCAATTGGCTGCGGCGTTTCGCCCACAAACATACGGTCAATTCACTTTACAGTCTATTCTGTGAAGTGCTTTGAGACGTCGAGAAGACGTGAAAAGCGCTATATCAAATACAAGGATTATTATTATTGTTTATCTGTATTTCTCTTGCAATCTTGTGATCATCTTAAGGGAGATACGGAATTCAGTAGGTTAGAGATTCACTGGAGCAAGCAAGTCTAACAAATATATATTTAAAGTTTTTTATAAAAAAAAGTATTCTCAAGAGGAATGAGAGTACAACATTTTTTTTGTTATATCAATAAAGGGAATGTATCCTGCTTCTTTAAACACCAACTACTAGTCTTCAGGCAAAGAAGGAGATTCTGTAAGGGGAGCAGATTTGTTATAAACCAGGTTGCTGAGATGATTAGACTTACACACTTTTGTTCTGAGCTAGCGAGGCTTTGCCTGTGGGGGTGGATGTCAGCAGGATGGAGACATGAAATCAGCAGTTTAAATTTTGAGGGGAATTTTTTTTGAATTAAAGCGGTGAATAACTCCCAAGTTCCTTGCAAGATGGAACTAGTTCACTGACGAGATGAATATGGGGTGCGGGGGGGGGGAGGGGAGGCGGAAGAAAGGTAACTGAATTCATTTTTTCGAAAGAATGGTGTTTATGAGGCTTTATGTGTTTAAATGCAGAGGTGAGATAGTTTTGAGAAAGACAAGAGCGAGATAGTTTTGAGAAAGACAAGAGTGAATGCACATTATATTACAGCAACTTTATTGTAAAAATAATGATCATGACATTTGATATAGCACCTGATCACACCTCCAAGAAGTCTCGAAGGGCATCACAGGCTTTATTGTATAGTACAGTGATTGTGCATTTGTAGGTGAATGCGGCAGTCAATTTGGACACCACAAGTAGCCACAAAGTGAATGACCAATTTTTTTGGTGGATTGTGGTTCAGGACACCGGGAGAAACTACATTCTCTTTTCAATCAGTGCCATGGGATTTTTAACTCCCATCTGATCAAGCAGACGGCACCTTGGTTTAAACGTCTCATCTGAAGGACAGCAGCTCTGACAATGCAGCGCTCATCCAGCACTGCGCTGGAGTGTTAGACTATATTGTAATCTTTGTATTGAAAAATAAAAAATTACAAAGTTCTACATGAACCAGTAATCAAAGAAGAACCACTGACCCATTGGTATATTTACTACCACCGGAATCAATACATTGGAATTAAAAATGTATATGATTTGTTTGATGTTAGAAACTACAATCATGTAGAGTATTTTTCCTTCACAACTGTTAACGTACTAATTTACAAGAACCAGTCAGGTAAAGTCAATTCTTCCCTCCCCCCTCCAAATAAAATGCATAATTGAGTGCTAAAATGCTTGTTATGAAATAGGAGAGTTTTACAGACAGCTTGTTAAATAGTGTTGCAATTTAACTGCCTTTTATAATATTGTAATGCATTGTACGTTTGATTAAGCAGTGTATTTCGTAGCCTAATAGCAATTAAGTTAGCAGTATTTATCAAAAGGGAACTTCACAGAAGTGTTTCCATGACAACCTCCATGCTAGTTAAGGCCAAGAGATGTGATCAACAGTTTATTTTTTTTTCTTTTGTGAAGATGAGATTTGTGCTGACAGTTTTGGTTTTAATGGCACTTTCATACTATGTGAAAGTATTTGTTTACTGGATCATATGCTGTTAGCTGTCAACTGCAGATAGATTAGCCGGTTTGATAAAAGAACGGATTGAGGCGGTGTGTTCATCATTAGTGCGGCTGCAAAATAAAATCACTAAAAATAGGCCTGACTTTTAACAAGCAGACTTAGTTAACAGAAGTTAAGATCATCAAATTAAGTGTTACTTTGCTCATTTGAACATACATATTTGCAGCTGGAATAGCAGGGACTGAAATGAGCAGTGCTTGTTTTTGATTAAGTTTTAAAACTGAAGTAGTCAAAGCGTGTGTGCATTGTTTAGTTTTGTGAATTTTTATGTGTGGTGCAGAACATACTCTGGCCCTTTTTTGAATAAAAGATGGCAAAGAAAGCTTGTTAAAATGCAATTATATAGTTTTTCTTAAG